TTGTGGGACGCCGCCAAATGTCAGAATGCGTGGCACGTGCGGCTGCAACATAGCAACTTGCTGCTCCAGCAACAGCAACATCACCAACAGCAGAAGCACCAGGACTTGCTGAAAAAGCAGCAGTGGCTTGTCAGTTGCAGTTAAGTTCCATAATTTGCCAGACGAAGCCAACAACTTGGAGAACGATGGCCCATTGCATTAGCCGCAGGGGCAGCTGTTGTGGCAGATGCTGCTGTTGCTGTTGCTGCTGCTGCTGCCATTTCAAGGACCACAGCTTAAGGGAAGCACAGGGAATGCTTAATTTAAGGTGTGGCAATAAGGTTATTAAGTATTTCGTATTAATTGTGTATATAATCTCAGTTAAAAGTAGTCTATACCTTAAATTCGTTACACAAACCCATTTTATTTTCTTTTTTCTTTCAACTTTTCCTTCGTTTCCTTTTAGTTTGTTTTTTTCTTTTGCCATAGGGGGTCAAAGCCGCATGTTTTTGGTCACTTGGTGAATGCCTGTCCAGGGCGGAGTCGAGCCGCAGTGTTGTGTGTTGTGGCCAGCGTGCTTCTTGTTTTTGGGCTGGCCAGCGGGGCGTATGCGTGATCTGGGCGTGATCCTTTGTCCTGTTCTCGCCGTTGCCTGTTTATTTGCATTGTTCGCCGGACACGCTGTCGCTGTCGTCGTTGTCGTTGTAGCTGGCGTTGTTGTTAGTGTTGGTGTTGGTGTCCTTGCGTTCGTCCTGTTGGCGTGTGGCACTTGTGCACTTTGTCACTTTTGTTTTAACGCTTACGCTTTATTGAGTTAATCGCTTTATGTCCGGCATTTCTCCCTCCGCTGTTTGCCTTTCTGCACTTTTGCCAGCTCAGCACTTTTAATTAATCCAGCAGCCCGAGATAGTCGCCCGCTTTTCTCTCGCTTTTCCTGTTTTACAGCGCTTTTTTCCAGCTCCCCCCCAAACCTGCATCAGCATTGCTTTTGCAGCTGTTTCTTTCTGGATTTTAATCGCTACTCCCTTTTTCGCTATTTGTCTCCCTTTTCTTTTGGTAAATAAAGTTTAATGTGTTTTTATTGATTACATCAGTGTGTGTGTGTGTGTGTGCCGCCCCCTTAGTTACCCCTTTTTACTGCGGTCATTATATAAATACACACACGCGTATCACCAAATAAAACTCTTTTTTTTCCCTTTGCCAGCAGCTGGAATTTTGATTGAGCATGTTTGTTGATTTATGTTCGCCAGTTGTGGAATTTATGTGCGGTCATTGTGAAATCCAGCAGAAAAAACAATAAAAAAAAAAAAAACAGAGCTAAAGGAAAGAAATTAAATAAAACCGAAAATCACACAAACACACGATAAACTCATTTCATTTAAAATGCCCAAAAAGAAATGTTAATGTAACATTAAAAATAAATAAAATTCTTTCATAAATAAAAGCCCACTGCTTCTGGGCGCTCATAAGTAGGCAACAGATTTTTTATTACAGATTTAAGTGCTTGAAATTGCTCGATTTCAGGAGTTAATTGAAAAGTATTGGGTTAAAATGAGCAGAAATTTGGCCAAGCTTTCATATCAGATTATGGACTTAAAGGGGGAATTATAATAAGGCTTTAATAAGCTATTTATTTGGCTTAAAAAGGGATTTTATTTTCGTTTTTCAAATATGAAATGATACCTTGCTTTCGCCAACTATAATTTGGCAAAGCTTTCTATTTATATTCAAATGTGAAAGTACTTCCTCTTCTATTTCCATTTCTATCCCTTTCTGCGGCTTTGCTTTTCCTATTGAAAATTTCATAACTCTCGTCGTTGGACAGCTTTGCATGCGAAAACGAGAGTTGATGATATATTATGTTGCATTTAGTTGCGACGCATTTGCATAACACTCATACGACCCGTGAGCTAGCGAGGAATGGTCTATGAAATATGTAAATAATATTTCAACAATAATTGCTTTTGAAAGCCAAGAGTGCCCAGAGAGATGAGTTCGTCTTAGTATTCAGTCCAAGCAAGCAAGCAAGCAACCCACACAAATTCAATTTTCTCATGAGAGAGTGAGAGAGAGAGAGAGGGAGTCCTGCTGCCAGCCAACCCTCAACTCAACTCAACTCAACTGCTCCTGGCAGCTAAAAATAATTAAAATTTAAAACGGAATAAAATGCACAAGAATAACATTTACATTTATGCGTTTCTGTCTTCTTCTGCTTTTCTTGCTTTCTTGCGGAATACAATTCAAATTCAACAAGTTGAGGGAGGAAAAACGGATGGAAGGAAAAGCGGCAAAACGCTCTCAAGTGTGCAGATCTCAAAGGAGAGCCAACTGAATATACATGGACTAGTTTAAAATTAAACTAATGTTTATAGTTATTGCAAAACTATCTACAGCTGCCCAAGAGAGCGGAACCAAGAGGACGACCTGTCTGTGTCTGTTTCTGTGTCTGTGTCCATAGAAACGGAAATGTAACTACTGCTTGAACATTGAATAGCAATGAAGAAAACTTGGAAACTCAGCGATTGTAATGATGTCTTCTTCACTGGATTTCTCCCTCCCATCTTTTAAGTTATGACACAAATGTCCAAGAAATGGTCAGGATGAAGGACATCTAGCTAGAGCCTCAGTTGATGATTATTATCTTATGTAGTCTCAGGCCGAATGCATTTCCACTCAATAACTAACAACTTGAATAAGGCCCGAAGACAATTGGAATTGGATTTTCTAACAGAATAGAATATATAATATAGACTAAGATCCTTGATAAAAGTTATACTTGAAGGAGAAGAAGGAATACTATCTAAGACAGTAGAAATACAAAAAAAACTTACAAACTTTTCCCGCCTCAACTCACTTTCCTCAACCTGCAATCAAGACCCAAAACAAAACTAATTATAATTAAAGCAAATTTCAGTTTTGTTTTGCTTGAATTTAGTTCCTTCCTTTCCCCCTCACAAACTTCTCATACAAAACATCAAGCGAGCAGAACAATTTTTCGGGCAAACAGAAAGCAACGCCGTGGGGCTAACGACACTCAAATCAAAAGCGATAATCTATGGCCCCCCGGCCAGAAAACCTTTCATAAAATACAGAGAAAAACAACCGAGGAAAATGCGAGGGGGAAAATACGAGAAGGAAAACGAAATAAGTAGCCGCACTTTATATTTATGAGCAACATTCGCATGCAGCTTTAATGGCCATCGAACTGGAACTGGAACTGGACAACAGGAGACGATGAGAACGACGACGACGATGACGATGACGCCCACAAAAAATACATTTCCTTTTTGGATTATTTAACTGCCATTGACGACGTTGAATGAATGAATGAATGGAATGGCGACTGTCGGGAGGAAGGAGTCATGGCAAAGCCCCAGCCAAATAAAAATAAAAGTAGGAGGCATCTGAGTGGCCCGCAGGCCACGAAAACCAAGAAAAATGCAAGAATTTTTCGAGCCAAGGAAGAAAAACTACCTGAGGGGGTGGTGGTTGGTAGGTTTGGCGCGCTTTCGTTCTGTGACTGGTTATTTATTTGCTCGTTTATTTTCAGCACTTTTTCGGCGCATTTATTAGAACTTGTTCTGCCTTCGGGCGGCCATCACCATCAACAGGACGAAAGAAAAAAGGGGTGGCAGGGAAAAAAAAATAAAATAGAAAAACGACGAAAGGCGAAAACCTTCTTGTAAGGCTGCGAATTTTGCTCTTAGCAGCTTTGCCTTCGAATTCGAAAATCATTTGTAAATCAAATTGAAAACTCTGCCAAAGAGATAGCACATAACAAGCTGTGACGGGGTTGGTTTTGGTAAATTTGTCAGAACCAGCGAACATCATTCGTCATGATGATGCCTCTTCCCCCCCTTTCTCTCTCTCTCTCTTACCCCATCAATTCAATCGTTCGGCGTGGGGCATAAAGCACGGAGCATGGGGCATGGGATTTTATTTGCACAGCAGTGAACTTTTTAGCCTCAGGGTGGTAACAGGGTGGCGCAAAGCAATGGGGAAATGAGTTGGAGCCCAGATAATGCTGATTAAGTCGATGGCACACAGGCCGCAGTTTCGACTTGTCAACTCTTATCCATGAAATTCTTAATTGTTCGTTATTAATGATGCTGCTGATACTGCGGCTGTTGTCTGACTTTCAAATTGAAAATGACCAAAGGGGAAGAGAGAGAGAGCAGACAGAGCGCCAGGACTCGACTTTGATGAATGTCCGAGTGTGAAAAACCACAGACTACAGGCTAATTGATTGCCCCAAGGACTGGGACTTGACTGGGATTTCAGTTTCTATTCTCCACCAAACATAGGACACAAATCAAAACGAGGGCCAGGCAAATTAATTAAGTTGAGGGCATGAATGCCCTTTCGTAGAGAAAGAGAGGCCTTTTTTTTAGTTGCCAGAAAGAAGAATCAGAAAGTAAGAGTAAGTAAGAGCCTCTAGAGCTAGGGTAAATGAGTATTGCAGAGAGAGAGGCCTCCTCAAGCTAAGATAGCGGACCCAGGACAAATAACTTGAATGGGTAAACAGTGAGGGCCATAAATAAATTGCTGCTTCAGCAATTTTCAATAACTGAGAGACCATCCCCTTTACACTCTCCTGTCAAACTGAGGAACTACACTTGACAGTCAATAAGTTGAAATCAAATGGAAGCGCGACAGCAGGACTAAGAACAGCAACTTAATAGAGGTAGTTCTTGGAAAAGTGTAAAAACACTCGAGTTCCATTTGCATTCTGATGGACGGACATAAATTTTCGATTATGCACACCATTAGACACGAATTGAAGAATTCATCAAAGTGGATTTTTCGGCCAGCTCTGAGTTGGGGGAACTTTTCGTCAGTCCTGCAATCTTTTGATTTGATAATGGATTTAGTCAAATATTCTAAGGGGTAATGGCAAGGAGTTGAAAAAGTGAGGAAACCTAAGAAATTGTAACTAAATTTGAATATTTATGAAGAATTTTTATCAGATTTTCCTTAACAGAAAACAATCTTGAATTCACTTTCCAAAACCTACTACTCACCGTGGTTGTGGCCGGTGTGGTGGCCGTGTGCGGCGTATAGGCGGCATATGCCGGCTGTGGCAGCGGCGCCGTATAACGGTAGGCTGCCTGCTGGGCAACAGCAGCGGCCGCAGCGGCTGCGGCCGGGGCATAACCCTGCGGGGTCCAGCTGGCGGCACCGCGATATGGTGCACCGGCGGCCAAAGCGGCGCCAGCGGCGGCAGCTGCGGGACTTGTCATGGCCGGTGGCCGCTGGGGTAGGGCGCCTTTGAGTGCGACGGCTGAGGCGGTTAGCGGGGCGCCGGGAAAGGCGCTGCGCGGTGTTGGCGGTGCGGCGGCGGCGCTAGACGAGCTCCCCTGGAAAATTATGAAAATATATATTAAATCAACACACTTTTTAATCATTAAACTAACTTAGATTTCTACTATAGAAATGGAATTTTATGGCTTAAAATATTGTATTTTCCGTTGAAGTTTACTATTTATGAGTAAGTCTATAAAAAACCAGTGAGGTGGACGATATGGAACGGACATTTGCTGGGGTTTTCCACTGTGTGTGGTTTAGTTTCGGCATAAATAATCTGGTTTTGCACGGGGTTTTTGTTTTGGCGTAAATAAAAACCACAGAGCGGCAGCTGCGACTCGGCTGTAAAGCTTTTGTTTACCGCTAGAAAAACCGCCATGACATCCGTTCTAATGCACACACACACACGCACACATACCATACAGACACACATGGCAGGCAGTGCATATGAATCATGGCAGGGGAGATTTTGTTTTATTGAGTGCCAGTTGCTCATTCAATGCAAAATGATAATAAAAAGAAGAGGTCGAAGAGGCTTAATACTCTGTAATCTTGATATGAAAATTTTATATTTTTAATATTTAAATAAGTTTTTAGAGAATTTAGATAATAATTTATTTGAATTTAAGCAAAGTTAAGCAACATTTTTGGACTTAAACAAGTTTTTGGCTGTGTTTTTTCATAAAATGAAAAACTTTTAAGTTTTTTAACCATTATTATGAATTTTTACAAAGAAAACCTTCAAGAACTTCAAAGTTTAAACATACTTTTCGGTATAAAAAATTTCAATCTAAGAAATTATATTTTATAAATATTTTTACAGCTATAAAATTGACACAAATTATTCTTTAACCTGTAAGAAAACTCAAAAATTCCCCCATAAAATACCTATTGCCTTTACCTTAAAGAAATAACAGGGTATCTATATAGAAACATGCCTGCTATAAATAATTCCCCTGCCTAACTCCCCAGTTCACTCCCTCAGAATTCAGCACATGAGGAAGTGCAGGAGGCAGAGACATAGTAGGCGTGGACAGATGCAACAGTCGCCGGGTGTCCTTGCTGCCGGGTCGCTTCCTGTGCGAATGTGTGCTCCAGTTTTGCATTGCAAATGCATTTGTTGCTTTGGGCCATTTCTTTTTTCTGTTTCTGCGCACTCCCTCAGCAGTTCTTTGGGGTCACTTGGCATAAACACAAATAAAGCCGCCTCTGTGGTTACACACACACACACACATATCAAAATTTATATTCCACTGAAATATACAAGGTGAAAAATGTGATGTTTTTGGTGGGGATTCCTACTGTCGTTTTGTCGAATCTTGCGTTGGCATAAAAACAAAATCTAAAAAGCCCAAATAATGCAACGAAACCGGAAACAAACGAGCACTCCGCCATTTTTATTTTCAGCCTGATTGAGGTAGGGAAGGAACTCGTGTGTGTGTGTGTGTGTGTGGGTGTGTGTATGTCCTGGTTCCTAAAAAGGATTCAGCGTTGGCAGCCCCTTGCGTGCTGTCGCTGATTTTCCAATTGCAAAATATGGCAAATATTTGATTTTCAGTTTGTTTTTCACCCTATTTTTCGACATTTTCCTGATTTTTTTTTTTTTTTGGAGGTGGCTTCACTTTTTCAGTTAATTTTCGTGGGCACGCAATTCGAATGCGGTTTGCGGGAAACGAAGGCTGAGCTCTGTGGGTGCCTGTAATTTGGCAGTTAAATGGCAGAGAACGAGTAATAATGGTTTGCCATTCGAATTGGAGTGGAGTAAGAGGACGAGGACGAGGACGAGGACGAACGTGTGTGCTTGCCAAGTGGAAAAACGTAAAGAGCGGGTAGAGAAAATATGCATTGGTAAAATCGTGAAAGGCGTGACAGCATTTTGACATAAACTTCAGACCAAAGAATTGGATTTTTCAGGCAAAAAGGTACGTACGTGCTAGCTGAAAGCAATGCCAGACATTAAAAATTTATTTACTTTTATGTGGGTGTGTGTGTGTGTGTGTGTTTTGCAGATGTTTGTTAAGAAAATTGTGAAAATTTAGAGGGAAATAAAAGGAAAATGAGTCTTTAGAGACACATTCTTAAAGTTTTTCCCAAAATAATATCTTTTTGGTCTACCAATCTTTTCATTAGATTTTAAATACCAAAAATAAATGAATTTATGTTTATTTTTTAGTACTCCCAAAAGCTATAAACTGGAATATATATAAAATAACTCTTCGATTTAAGACCTTTCTTTCCTTTTTTATTTTCCCTCACCTAATCACCCAAAAAGTATGCTTCAAAAATCCATGTACAAATTGCCAACACATTGACACCATAGATTCCCCTTAAAAGTTGACTTCAAATCCATTTTCCCCCCTCACACATTTCCCCATTTATTGCGATTTTTCCCTGGCAGGAGAAAACACCACCATTTCGTAACGCCCATCAATTGCCTTCGGTGGGTCATAAAATGGAATAGCCAAACATTTTAAGCGCACAAATGCTATAAATTTAAGCCGCTAAATTAGACACGTTTGGCACATTTTAGCCAAGCCCCACAAGCATATATATATATATATAGCTCCTCTACCCACCTCAGGAAAATAGCCTCAAACCCTATGGCCACTGAAAATAATCATAAAGGTAATTATTTTATCGTTCGTTCAAATTCGCTTAATTTTAACGTTGACTGCTGCAACGACGTCTAGCGGCTGGAAAATTTCTCTACACACAGGTAGGTATAGGTATAGGTATGTATGTATGTACGAGGTGTGTTCAAAAAGTAAGGTGACTCTTCAAATTTCGCGAATTTCAAATTTTTCGATTATCGATTTTTTTGTTTTGTTATATTGGTACACTCTTCCCTAACATCTGTACCAAGTTTCAATGGAACATCCTCTTTTGTTTGGTTGTGAGAGGCGTAAAGTTACAAGTTGTTTTGCGAGCTCGGCGATTTTTTGCTATCGAAAAATATGGATCAAAGGATTTGGATTTTTTGGCCAAAAACAACACCACAATAATGCCTCAGCCACCATATTCACCGGATTTGGCCCCATGTGACTTTTTCTTGTTCCCAAAACTGAAAATAATCGAAAAATTTGAAAAATTTGAAATTTGAAAAGTCACCTTACTTTTTGAACACACCTCGTATAACTTCTAAAAGGTTTCGATAATCGAAAAATTTGAAATTCGCGAAATTTGAAGAGTCACCTTACTTTTTGAACACACCTCGTATATGAATGGAAAGCTAATGGAAAATATGAAGCCTAGGTGGCTGGCCTACATCCTCTGAGCCTTAATGGGCAGCTGTGGCTGTTTTTGGCGAGAAAAAGGAAAAAGGAGCGAGAATAGAAACGAGGACGTGATTAATTACCAAATTGGGAGCCATTATCGCGTGCACTTCGAGGGTGTTTGTAAAGTTTTTCCGACTCACGCACACACACAGAGAACACTGACAGAAATTAGAAGATTTTATAAAGATATATTGGGTTAAATATGTCTTACAAAATGAGAATTCCTAAAATATCTTAATTTAGAAATAAAAAGTCAAATACTTTTTAAAAATTTTAATTTAGAAAATCCTTAAAAATTCAATATTTTTCCCAGTGCTTCTACAACCTATCCTGGCTCGTAATTTGGTCGTGTCTCAAACATTTCTGTTGACGCTTTTGTTCTGTATTCTATTACCCCAAAAAATACGGCTCTTCTCTGACGCTGATATTGGTGTTCGCTTAATTTTTATGCAAAAAACGTTTCGTTTTGGTCCTTTCAGCCGTTATCCGGCGATAGTCCTTCCTGGAGGCAAAATCAAGCGCAAAATATTAATGATAATAATTTATTACCAACTGACAGGTGGAGAGACAGGAGGCACGCAGTTGGAATGGTAGCGGGGGCTGTCTTTTGTGGGGTTTCGGCAGAGAGTTTGGGGGCTAAAGGCAGAGGATATCCACTGATAAACGCTTTGTGATTAGCGGTCGTTGTTGCTGGTGTAGCTTCGTGGCAACGACGAGGTGCCTTTGTCATTTTTATTGTCATTTTTTGAAAATTTATGCGCAAATTCGATTTGGCTGCGGGCGAATGGAAATACGTGAGTTGGTATAATGTGGCCGAAAAAGAAGGGGGAAGTGGAAAGCCAGAGTTCTAGATACTTTAAGAAGGTTAAAGAATTTAAATAGAATTAAATGAGTGAAATTTATTTAATTAAAATGATAGGGAAATTCTAGAAAAAAGTTGACTAAAAAGTAGGTAAATGATATTTTAACGCATTTTAAATTTATTTCAGTCATCCCTTTCCCTTAACACCTTTTAAAAAACGAAACTACCCCTTAATACCCTTTTATAAAAAAACATTTTCAAATTACTTAATGCAAAAACTAGTTGAATGGCAGATGGAAAAACAGATGAAAAACTGCAAACAAAACTGGGACTCGGCTCACGACTCACTTGCCACATCCAAAGGCAACCAAAAAACGACGACGAAGGTGGAAAAGTCTGAAACAAAAAATATTTGCATTTTCCTCAAGAAATGTTTGCACACACTCATAGACAGACACACACACAAACACACACACATAGATATATAGCTGTCTCTTTGTATGATTCATATTTTCCAACCACTTATTGTTTAAACTAAATAAAGCAAAAACTTTTTCCATAATTAAAACCGACGGCAGTGGCGTGGGCAGCACAAACAACAAAAACAACAATGTCTCGAGGGAAAAGGCGTGGGATTTTCCATGGTTGGGGGGGTGGAGGCTTGGGTAGGCGCAAGAGCGGAAAACAAAAGGATTTTCCTTCATTTTGTTGCTGCCTTTCAGGCGCAAAATTTTCGCTTATTTTTTCCGGACTTTTTTTGCCTATTTTAATTCTATGCGGTAAATTAAATTTTCGTATTGTCCTATGAAAAACCCAACCACCCACTCTTCTCGCTGCATAAAAATTCACGAGCAAAAAGCGCTTAAGGGATGAGAAGTGGGCGGAATATATAGACAAGGATTGCAACTCTCGAGGGCTAAAAATAGGCAGCAGGCAGGCAGAAGAAAAGCTGCAGCTAAAAATGAAAATGAGGCGC